CGACGACGACGACGGATAATCCAACACACTCGCGTACAAGCCCTTTTTCTACCATCCAGCCCTTTTGTTAAAGATTGTGGGCCCCGCGGATCATCATCAACAGGGCTGCGCCTTTGAATCTTTTTCTTCGCAAAACGAGAACATTTCTTTTTATTTTTTTTTTTATTTTTTTCTTTTCGTCTGCCTCTTCTTCTTCTTCTTCTTCCTTTTCTTTCTTTCTTTTTTTTTAGTTTTTTATTTTGCACGTAGGAAACCCTCTGATTTTGTAGTCCTTCGTATATTCTTTGCTTTGCTTTGATTTGCTTTGGGACAAAGGATTAACTAAAACAAGATATTACAAATCCTACAGGTAATAATAATAACAATAATAATAATAATGATGTATGATTGTATGTTATGCATTTAGGTATGTTGAAATATTTTTTACAAAAATAAAATAAAAAAGATATGAGATAAAGTATTCTCAAAAAAAAAAAAAAAAAAACAGATTAACACCACGTTCTGCGCCACACGAATTCTTACGGAAATCATCGTCAGGCCACGCATGGCAAAACAAAAAGTTGAACGTCAGGCCTCGGCGTCTAAAGTTCAACCTCAGTCAAGTTCAGTGTCAGTCACTTGTGACTGACGTAACCTAAACGTGAAATTCAGTGTCAGTCATTTGTGACTGACGTGACCTAAACGTGAAATTCGGTGTCAGTCACATGTGCCTGACATGGCCTGAGCTTAAAGTTAAGTGTCAGTCACATGTGACTGACGCGGCCTAAACGTGAAATTCAGTGACAGTCATTTATGACTGACGTGTCACAACGCGTTAAATTCAAGACAAATTTGTTGAAGTTTATTAACCTTTACTTCCTTTCTTCATTCTTTATTTATTTCTCATGTTTGTTTTTTTTTGTTTTGGTATCTTTCGTTTTTGTAAAAGAAAAAAAAAGAACAAAAAGAAAGCAAAATCTAAAAGATATTTCTGAGAATATCCATTAAAAGTTAGAAAGCAACCCCGATATAACTTGTTCTTTATCTTTCTCAAAAATGGGGGAGAGTCTGTGAAAAAGGGAGAAAGAAAAATAGAAAAGAAAAGAAAAGAAAAGAAAAGAGTTAGAATGAAAATATACTTTCGATGCATCAGCATCAGCAGTTATAGCAGTAGCAGTAGCAGTTCAGTAGCAGTAGCAGTAACAGCAGTAGCAGCAGCAACATCAACCAGCCCTACCTACCAACTTCCAACATCCGTTTTCTGTGTATCTTATTTTCTAAGGAGCCACAAAGTCGGCCGAGTATATCGAAAAAGGTTGGATTAGTTCAAATGAACCCTAAAGAAGAAGATTAAGATAAAAAAGATAAAGATAACAGTCTAAATACATTAAGTTCTCAATGTATATGTGTATATAGGTGTATATAGGGGGTATAGTAACACATTTAAGTTTATTTATTTATTTATTATTGAACGCTATGTTTATTATAATTTAAAAATAAAAAAAAATAAAAACACCTAAAATTGCACTTTGTGTAACCCTGGTGTCCCTTCCACTCCCTACTCTACACTCCTACACACTCCTACCCCCAACCACTTTTATGGTATGGTTTATAATCTTTGTTTCAAATCATTATATGTATGTGTATAGTTTTATGAACCATGTATTGTATATAACCTTATAGGTATTTATGTATTTCTATGTTGTATATATGTATGTGTGTTTGTGTTTGTGTGAAAGTATGGCCTAAGGGGAGGGCCGAAATTATCCACGAAAAGGGGGCCAACGTGTGAGTGAATGAGTAAATGAGTGAGTGAGTGAGTGAGGAAGAAAGCGTTATTGTGTTTTGTTTTGTTGTGTTGTGGGTTTCTTTCTCGCTTTAAATTACAACCAGGAAGATGGTTGGTTCCAAGACCATCTGGGACCCCTTTGTTTCAGACTCCTCCTCGTCCTTCAGGAAGGAACGCGATACGCCCGTCTTGGAATATCTTCCTTCGAACAACTTTCATAATAAAAAGAGATAGTAGGATGATGTATCTTTTATTTCATTCTTATTTTATTTATTTATTTAATTTTTCAAGTAAAAACTGCCTTAGAATGGGGTGGGGGAGGGGGTGAATTCTTTAATTCAAAACCTTTTTTTTTTAAATTATATGAAATAATTGTTTTAACGAATTTTGAGATTTCCTTGTATAACTTGTTTGTAAAAGAAAATAAAATAAAATAAATATACTTATATACATACGAAAACACCAGGTAAGAGAAGTGTGTTTCTTTTTAACCAGTTAAAAAAAAAAAAACAAAAAAAGAAAAAAAACCTCAGCACCGATTCCTGATTCTCGTCGCATTGTCTACGAAAGCGATTCTATAAACACATTCCTGCATATCGTTAGGTGTTCCACTGATGTTTTGCATAATCGTGTCTCCCGCAAAACGAAAGTTCTTTTTTTTTTCTTTCTTTTTTTTTTTTTCTTACAGGTAAGAACATTGCTGTTTGCTGTTCGTTCGTGACGTAACGACAAAACGAGGGACAACAACTAACTCGACAAGTCGACGACAAGGAAGGATGACAATAACGTAGAAGGGAATATAGAAAGGGGGAGGGTAAAGGGTGAAGGGAAGGGAAGGGAAGGGAAGGGAAGTGGGAAGAGGGACGAAGGGAACGGGACAGGTCATCACCATCACCATCACCATCACCATCATCACCACCTACCTTCCGAGGTTAGATTCTCTTAGACGACGTGAGAAAATTTAAACTTTGCAAAGAAACCGAAACCTTTTGTAAAATAAAAAAAAGAAGAGAAAGAGAAAGAGAAAGAGAAAGAGAAAGATAAAAAAAAAAAACAACGTGCCTTGGAGTTATCTACGAACGATAACTAG